ATTATTATTATTATTATTATTACGTATTTCGTATGTTCTTTAATTTTACCTACAGTTTGCTCGTTTTTCAAGCTAACGATACAATGTCTTTTCTTCGTTGTTCAATCTTCAAGTTAACGGACTGGACTGTGGATGTCTATGCAAATTTGTATTTTTACACGTACACGTGACGCTCACGATTTCTATTTCAACCGATCACGAATCTTGTTGAAAATTGTTCTTCAAAAATGGGAATATCTTTTAGATATATATGTATATAGATATAAGTTTAATCCTCTGTAATGTCGTATAATTTGAAAGTTGCATATTCACATGCTGAAAAGTTTCTTTATTTTGCCTGCTTACAGTTCCACTGCTTTTAAAGCAATTATCAGTTCCAGTAGATTTTAAACAGCTACGATTGATTGATAAGTAATATTTACTAAGAATTAAAACTGTATATATTTTTTTTTATAAAATTCGTACGACACAATTAATTTGTGATTTTTTAACAACAATGTACAGAAAATGTTTTCTACTCGCTGATTTTTTTCTTTCCAAATGTCTTCTTTAGATCAAAGTTAATTATAAGAGTAATTACTTTGGCTATTTCTCACTCTGTGTTCATAATTTTGAATTTTGTTTGAAATTTATCTCATCTTCAGTACCAAACTTTTTTTTCAAAAACGATCGAATCACTTCACCAATGAAATATTTTCAAAAGAGGCACCAACTCCTATTTAAAAGTCTTATTAATATTCAGTACTTAACGTAGACAATACAATTTTTGAAACAAATGTAGTACTTGTCCCAGGACTTCTGACTGGAGGTGTGCAATTTTCACTTGTAACTTTTCAGTACAAAGAAAACAAAATGTTTACTATTTAACTTTTCCCTCCCGATATTTATTCTCCAGAAAATCAAATATGAAAACTCACAGACAACGAATCGAGACTGTTAACAAGCAAACCTAAAACTCACAACTTTTCAACGATTTCGAAGAACAAAGACAGTCCAAAGAATTGCGTACGATTTTCCAGAATTAATATTCCCAACTTTTCTCCAGCGACATCAATGTACACCGTTAATGCAACGCCTTTTAAATTCGATTGTCCTCCCCGGCAAATATAGCATAAAGGTCGAGAATTTCAGGAATCCTTGGAAAGTTGAAAAACTTCCCGGGTGGTATATGTAAGAAACTGGGTTACGGCAACAGGTGGGTACTAAAGTAAATATACGCACATTACGTCTACTCCTTAGGACCGGGAAAGGATCATTACGTATTTGAATTTTCCTACGATTAACTGTCACGTTGCCGGTGACGAGCTTTCATTGGTGCATGCGTCCATCGCGCTCGGCACCGTCAAACGAATTTCATCCGGTCTACAGTCTACGAATTCGATGCACTTGATCTTCAGAAAAGGTCTACGCACCACGCCACGAGTCAACGTGTGTGAATTTCATTTTATCAAAATAAATCTGAATCGAGGGAACCAACTCTCGATTGTCTACAACTATCGGATCATTCTACACTCAAAAAGTCTACAGATAAATTGTGCTCGTGTACGTACGTGGTACGCGAAAACATCCGTTTTGAAATTTAGGAACGATTCACGGTGGATATGTGTGTATCAGTTTTGTTCAAGACATGAATGAAAATTTTATTGTAACGCGATATCAGTAACAAATCCCTAGGGTGCACGCAGTAATTCGAAGGTAAATAACAGGACTTCTCCACACCTGAGTACACCATTAAAACGTATTATGAACTATTAACGTGGACATTTACTGCAGATAATACATTCCATAGCTTGCAATAAGTCGGAAGTAGTCATCCAGTCTACAGTTTCTTCTTGCTTCAATTTGAAGGATTTTTTAAATACATCTTTATAAACTGCCTCTTCGTGATTTTAATACGAAATAACGAATGTGAAATAATTGGAATAATAATTTAAAAATCTGTAGAAATATAATCGCAACGTTTTTTGTGCAACGAAATATAATACAAATATAAATAATTTTAGATATATAATTTCAATTATACCAACTGCTGATTAGATAGAATAAAACGACAGAATATCGAATGTCGATAAGAAAAAAATTTCATAACTGACAACGCACTCTAATCTTTCGTTGGTATTATACCGACTCTTGGTGAAATACCGACTACAGTGGTGAACGAATTTATCCATATCACAGTCGCAGATGATTTTGAATGTCCATATCTCTAATACGAATACAAAGGACTGATCATTCTGAATTTTTAAAAATTAAAGAAATCTACCGGCTCAAGTAAATTTTATTAAAAGTTCGATATAATACGAATGGAATTAAAGAGAAGAAAAGACAACCTTCTTATCTACAGATATATTATTGTAGAAAAAGTAATTAACCCTAGACTTTCCAAAAGTGTACAAACTTGAAATATAAAATATTTTCTACAAACTTAGAAATTAGTTATCTATATGTCAAAACTTATTTTTCATTAATCTATGGGCACGTACATTTACACAAACACGTAAATAAGATCGCAGCCAATTAGCTCGTATTAGTTGCTATATAATTAATAATTGTATCAGTTATATAATCAATTATTAGCTATATAGTAATGCAATTATTAATTATATGTCAAATAATATCGATTGCCCAGGTCCCACCACGTGGAGGTGCTGCGAGTGGAGACCCACCCTATCCACGGCCCATCCACCCTCCTTTTGCGAATAAAAATTTAATTTAAAACATAAATTTGTGAATAAATACTTCTTTTACTATACGTTTGCAAAACGTTCAATACATTGATCGTTGTGCAAATCGGACAATAAAAGAAACTGTAAGGAAAACCGATGCGGGAAGCTAAATTTCTGCGAAAACAGAAATTCTATTAAAGCTTAAACTAATTATATATATATAATTTTATATTACAACTCTCAACTTCGACTATATAACTATAGTTAAAAAGACTATAGACTTTTATTGATCCTATGTAAATTAACTACTCTTAATATTAACTACCCTTCACCGTGCATGCACTTAGATACTAACGCATCTTATATTACCATGCTTAAGCTTAAATCTATTAACCAAGACAACTAATTTAAAACTACACCATAACACAACACAACACAATATAACACAACATAACACAATACAACACCCAACTTAAATCTATCTATCTTAATCTATCTATCTTATCTATCTATCTATCTATCTTATCTAATTAAGTTTAATTTAGTCTAAATCTAGCATCTGTAAAAAAAAATTAGTGATTTTTATTCATTCTGTTTATATAAATAGAAAAATATAATTAAAAGGAAAATTAAAAAGAAATGAAGTGAATGTCATATGAAGTCTTCCTCAGATGATTTCTCTTCCGATGATGTATTATATGAAATCTTCTTTTGTTGATTCCATAATCTGTACCTAAAACAAATCTAAGAAACTGGGAAAGATTAGTAAAATATAATTATTCCTTGCAATTGCATGAAACATCATTTTATTGTAATAATTTTCTTCCTCTTGAACCACTTTCTTTAATTTATATTCCATCTTTCTTAATTTTCAGTGTACATATTTTCTGTAATTTATACTTTCTGCAAATTAATAAATCTGAAACAAGCTTGTATATTGGATTAATATTGTAATTTAAATAAAAAGATAAAATAAAAAGATCTGCAATGAAGACATTATACATACAAAAAAAAAATCAGGTTGTTGTCAAGATATTATTTCGTAATTATATACTTTATTAATTGAATTAAATTAATTTTTGACTCGAAATTATGAAATGAATTTTCTTGAAAACAAAAATCTCTAGTAATTGGATTTGAATTAAACTGAATAAGTCAAAAATTTAAAAATTTATTTTTGAGATAAACATGAAAGAAGTGTCAATTAAAATCACATTTACTTGTTATATAAAACGAAGAACAGAAAGAATTGTGTAAAATACGTTCATTGCAAGATTTCTATTAAACGACGATTACGCATAAACTTCGATTTATGCATACTAAATTTGAATATTTATAAAATTCTACTTTATTAGTTGAAATATTTAGAATAGAGAAAAGAAGAGATCGAGAAAATGATAACAAAATCTGATAACGAACAATCATTATTATTAATAACAATAAATTGGATACTATTACAAAATTAACTAATATTCTATGATTTAATTATTTTGTAAGAAAAATCTCAAATTTTCCTTGTAATATTTCAACATTTTTTTTGCGATAGTTTTCTCACTTCATTTTTAAAAAAAGACAAATAAAATTCTAAAATCCGTAACAAAGTTATAGCTAATAAAATAAAATAAATATATATATATATATTTTTTTTAGCAGTATTTTTTTAGCAGTATATTTTTTTTAGCAGTATTTTCAATAACAAACGGCAGTATGAAGGGCGCTGAAAAAGAAAAAACAACACAGTAACCAGAAGGGTTGCTGAGTACACGATACAGTAGCCAGAAGGACTACTAAAAAACAAGCATATCTTATTCAATAACCAAAAGGATTATTGAACAATTATGTACACTACGAACCCGAGCAACAAACCGTATCTTATTACGCAACACTAATTATCTAGCACTGTGAAATTTTCAAAATCAAACGCGAAGAATGCTTCGTCAAAACTCCCGAAAATAAGTACGCAACGCTATTAATCTATGCATTCATCTTTAAAAATACGCAACACTAATTGCGACGCGTCCAGTGCAATTAAATGCTAAAGGTGATGAA